CGTTCACTCGGCGGAATACCCTTCGACGGAGGCGTTGTATCCTTCACCGTCGGACAACGGGATATGTATCAATGGACATCTCGCCTTATGCTACTGCCCCTTAAAGCTCGCGCTCGTCAGCAATGCACAGCCAGAAAATAGAATACTAGTATCGGTATGCAATGTGACACTTCCAGGCGCGTGCTCGGCGATGGGCACGGGGGGGGGGGGGGGGGGGGCACGTGCACCCCCCAAAAATTTTCAATCTGGGTAATTGCAATTGTAATGTATGCAAATATGCTCTAAAATTCAAGAAAGGTTGCAAACAAATTGACTTGTCACAGAGAATGCAGTACCAATAACTTCCCAGCCACCGACGCAGCGGTCTCGGCCGCACAGCCCAGTGTGCTGGAACCGTACTTTAATGTACGGAGTGAGCGATATTGCCGAACACCTCGACCCCGGCCAACATCTGGATAAGAAAGAAGCTGAACACGTCTGCACGGAGACGGAAGCAGAGGGTAAGGATTTGGAGACCATCCAGAACCCGAACTCTCCGACATCTGCCACTGGTTGTCCAAATGAACAGGGTACACCCCACTCAAGGAGTCTAGCACCGAGCTCCGAAGCACACACGGACCAAGCAAAAGAACTCGGAAAACATCTCAACCCCAAAGAAGCTAAACAGGTCTGCGTGGAGACCGAAGCAGAGCATAGGGATTCCCAGACCATCCAGGACCCCAACTCCCCAGCATCTACCACCGGGTGTCCAAAACAAACAGTCTAAAAAACGCTCAAGGAGTCGGGCACGGAGCTCCGTAGCAAAAACGGACCAAGGAAAAGAAGGACGGGAACAATCATCACACGCTGCTAAAGAAGAGGTTGTGACCGACACAACAGGCGAATGTGATTTGACTGCAGCGAGCTCTCCGGCCAGGAAAAAATGTAAACGGAACTCACCGAGACAGAGCGTGCTCTATCATACATGTAGGCAACACCAATACTTCACCTTGCCATTGCCTGTATCTGCTTTAATGGGTTCCACCCCGGAGCATCCTCAGGACGGAAGGGAGGAGACCGCAACGTCCGAAAGGTTCCCAGCACCGCTTAGGCGGGGAGAAGAAATAAGTGGAGGAAATACAAGAAGGATCGTTCGCCTTCTCACTCCAGAAGAATCTCATGGAAAGGCCAGGGATTTCTGCCTTCGCTATGCCGTTTATTCCAGACATAAAGGAGGAGTGTTCGCTAGCTACGTTAACTATTTGGGAGGCTGCATAACACACTATGAATCGGACCATTCATGGTGGACAATTGCTTGTGGCCTCCTCAAGGTTCTTCCAATAGTTGAGCCAGACCAATCTGATTTATTAAAGGGATTTAACAAGTGTCTAACAGGACAAGCACGCATTTTGCAGATAACACGCTCCGCTAATCCACCAAGCATTCTTCTTCGGCAAGTACGTGATTCCCCAACACTGTAACAGGTTTAATCAAACTTGAAAAGTAAGAGGCCTGGTTGAGCGTGCCTCGACCAGTTATATGCAAAATGTGATAGTATACATGTGGCAATGGCGCCAATGAAGGTGCTAATAGACAGGCGTAAGACGCACGAGGTGCGAGGGAGTGTAAAGTTATAGAGAACAGGGGAAAACTGTTACATCATCCCCCTCCTATGGAGAGGAAGGAGCTTATAACCCAAATGCTCAAGTGGAATAGAGTACAATAAGCGCAAACACGTGCGAGACGAAAAAAGGCTTCGCACTGAAGTAACACAATAAGACGACTGAAACTCCATGCAAATAAAGTGTAATAAGCTCAACAAATGTGTAAGATGAAACTAGAAGTTCAACTGCAAAACTCAGCGGGCAGAAGCCAAGGTTTTGTACTTCTGAAGTGGAACAATGTCATTACCAGATTCATCCAACAAATAATGTTCAGGCTCCCAAGTGGCATCAGAGTAGCCTTGCCACTTGACTAGGTACTGAAGCTGATTCTGCCGGCGGCGGTGACTGAGAATGTTCTCCACCACATAGCGGGCATGACCATCAAGGTCCGTGATAGGCGGAGGCGTAGGCTGTCTCCTATTAGGAATAGCGTTCTTCTCGTAGGCACGGAGTGCCGACACATTAAATACCGGGTGACAGCGGCTGGTATGAGGCAACTTGAGCTTGTAGGCATTCGGGCCGACCACATGGGTTATAGGAAAGGGGCCAAACCACTTGGGGCGTAATTTATGGGATGGTCGGTCCCGAGCTTCAGGAGTCAGGAGGAAATCCCGGTAGACCATTACCAAATCTCCCACCTTCAGCTTTCCCTCGACCCTTGTCCGATCTGCATAGAAGGCCTGACGAGCTTGAGCTGCCACTAGCGCATCTTGTGAGATCTTGACCGCGTCTTGTCTTGCTTGCAACCAATCAGCTGAATCTCTGCCTCCCTGAATAGGGTTGAGGAAGTCGGGTGGCGCTCTGGGATTTAGACCGTAATTTAAGAAGAACGGTGTGTTTCCTGTAGATGATTGAGTAGCGCTGTTGATAGAAAACTCACAGAGAGGTAGGAGCATATCCCAGTTATCTTGTTTATGATTTACAAAAGCCCTCAGCACATCCTCTACTATTCTGTTTACTCGTTCAGTTAGGCCATCTGTCTGAGGGTGATTGGCAGTACTAAATGCTAGTTTCGTTCCTAAGCGATCAAACAATTCCTGAAAAAATGCTGCCGTAAATCTTGGATCACGATCACATACAATACTAGAACTCAAACCATGAAGTCGAAATACATGTTGAATATACAGATCAGCACTTCCTTTAGCGTCAATAGTAGAGGAAGTAGGTGCTAAATGTACACACTTTGTCAAGCGATCTACAAATACATATATAGCATCATGACCTGTATCGGTCCTAGGCAAACCCATGATAAAATCCATCGAGATATCTGCCCACGGCTGACTGGGCACGGAACGCGACTCTCTACTGGCTGGTGGCCCCGACGCCGGTGGCCCTGACGACTGCTCCACGGTGTTTGCTGCCATGACAGCTTGCTCCAGGGTACGTGGATGCTCACGCATGACCTGTCGCTGGATGTGCGGCACTAGACCCCTGACGAACAGCAGCGCTCTGGTGTGGTGGTCGATTTCCGGCACTTGCAGGCTGAGGCGAGTGAAAGCAGCAATGTATGCGTCCAGCGACCCGCGCTGCGCTGCGGAAATTAGTCCCATACGCGATGTTTCCTCGTTGTGCCGTGGTCCGTACACATCGCCAAGTGCCGCTTTCAGAGCAGGCCAGTCGGAAAACACTTGGTTAGCTTCCAATGCCGCTATCAACCAAAGACGAGCGTTTCCAGTCAAAAATCCTGCCGCGTAGTCGACCCTCTGTGCCGCATTTGGGAGTGCCAACGACCGTAGGGCCATGTCCATTGCAAACGTCCATTCTTTGAATGTAGCGGAATCTCCTCCAAACACAGGCGGCTCTTTCGTAAGGCGGGGTGTTGGCTCCCACGGTTCCGAGTTCGGATGTATCGTTCGGTGTCCTTGGCTAACGCGCTGAGCGGTCTTGATATCGTTTATCAGCCGAACGACGAGTACGAGGAGCGTAAGCAGAGCGACCAGAACACCTGCCAAAAGCAGAGTAGTAACCATCCTCTGCTACCAGTGTAACAGGTTTAATCAAACTTGAAAAGTAAGAGGCCTGGTTGAGCGTGCCTCGACCAGTTATATGCAAAATGTGATAGTATACATGTGGCAATGGCGCCAATGAAGGTGCTAATAGACAGGCGTAAGACGCACGAGGTGCGAGGGAGTGTAAAGTTATAGAGAACAGGGGAAAACTGTTACAAACACACACCTCCCCGCAGTCATGCTCTAAAGATGATGCAAAGG